GCGGCGGCAACAACAAAACTACAGCGAGAATAAAAGTTCCGCCTTCTTTCTTTGCGTGAACATTTGGGTGGCGTTATGCAAATCTTCCCACATTGTGACGTAGACATGTGGGGGCGTGTTAGAAAGAGCCATTTTAGGTAGGCGTGGTTAACTCTTAACTTTTATAAAGAATATCTCTTTGGATTTGAGACTTTAGTCTTTGCAACTTTACAGATCTTCTTTATGCACCAAGAGCTGGTAACACTCCAAAGAGAAAGGAAAAATTGAAATCGCATCATATGACCCCTTTAACAAAATAATTATCTTAATAGAAAAAAAATTATTTCTTAGTTTCTGCATGATCTAATGAGTGATATCATTTCAAATCATGAAGCAGGTTTGTGTTGCCAGACTTTGATGACGCGTATCTTCAGCACAGTTTGCAGTGCAGGCTCCAATAATAATAATTTATTTTTGTCTATTAAACATTTTTTATATTAAACATATCATAATATTGCATTTTTTGTCTCTTAGAAATGTACATTTGACAGTAGCTTGAGATGACAGTTGTAGTAGCTTGAGTTAGGATGCAGATGTAAATTTATGTTCGTTATCAAAAATAGTAACAACCTCATTTTTATATGGTGAAATGTAATTATTCTGACTTGAGTTTTATTAAAATTAACCATTGGCCTTCCAGAATAGCATACATTTAGATCATGATAACCAGAGTTAAAACCACACATACAGTACCTCAATACCATGGTAAAAATATAACTATATGGTTTTTAGGTATCTGTACACTCTAAAAAAAATGCTGGGTTAAATAGGGACAACCCAGTGCTGGGTAAAATAGGGACAAACCCAGCAATTGGGTTGTTTTGGCCCAGCGGTTGGGTTACTACCCAGCATTTAACATTTAACCCAACCGCTGGGTCAAAACAGCCCAATTGCTGGGTTTGTCCCTATTTTACCCAGCACTGGGTTGTATTTAACCCAGCATTTTTAAGAGTGTAAACAGTAGTCTAAATACAGTAAATCCATGGTAAATGATGGCGATTTGTAGATTGAAAAGCCTTCTGAATGTATCATTGCGCACAGTGTTTTTGCTGTTTGTCAGCGCTGTTTCATCTGGCTTTAAACTAGTTTAAATCATTTGTGTTCTTCTCTGAATTCAAGCTCTTCACTCTGGATCTCACAGCACTGTTTAGTGTCATGTGACCAAGACTCATCAACGAGTAAACGCATTTGCTCTAGTAAACTCGTGCTGTGCTGCCGTTTGAAGTTTGAGCTGAGTGGATAAATGGTCCGTGTGACGTGGTTCACATGAGTGGCGCTGATTCGTTCTGCTTTTGGTGCATAACCACTGTATCAAAGTCTTATCGTTTTATCGAGGAAATTTATATCGCGATTATTTTCATTATCGATTATTTTATCGCCCAGCCCTATACGTATATGAATTGCACAATTGCACCTTCCTTTTAACGGTTTTGTCATTTACAGGAAGAACGGCGTCTCAGAACGGCCTATGAGAACGCAGAAGGCGGAGAGCGAGAGAAGTTTGCGCTCTTCTCTGCTGCCGTGCGAGGGAGCCACGAGAAAGAGCGGACCAGGGCTGAACGTACCAAAAACTGGTCCGTTATTGGTTCGGTGTTGGGCGCTGTCATTGGCGTGATGGGTTCGACTTATATAAACCGGGTACGTTTGCAGGAACTCAAGAGCCTGTTGCTGGAGGCCCAGAAGGGACCGGTGATTCTTCAGGAAGCCATCAAGGTCCAGGCCAACATGCACAAAACGCAACAAGACGAACTCCGCAACCTCATCGACTCACTCAGGATGGCTTTGAAAGGCAGTGTAAAAGATGTGAAAACAGTCAAACCAGCGTTTGTCCCACCAGCAACTGCCGTCGTCGCAACTTCTGCATCCAGTTCTTCAGAAGAAGCGATCCGAGAGATTCTCCAACACAGCCAAAGAGCCCAAGGGCTCATTGAAAGCCTTAAACCACAGCTGGAGCAGCTGGAGGAGAATGTCGGGAAGGTCGAGACCGAGTTGCAGGCGGTCAAGACGACCCTGCAGTATCGTCCAGCGGAGAAGCCAGTCATTCAAACCCGAGATGCGCAGCTTTTTGTATGCGATACAGAGACAGTCGTTCAAGGCCTCGGTCAAACGGAGAAAAGACTGGAGGCGCAGATCAACAAAACAACTCAATACAATACAGTCTGGACATGTGCGGCGTTTGCTGTGACTGTGCCAGTTCTGTACATATTGTTGAGAGGTACTTGAAAAGTATGCAGGCAGTGTGCATTTTAGGGGCCAATTAATACACTAGAGAAAAATGTAACTAAAGAGTGCAGTTATTGTCCAAGGCTGTAAAAGATTGATTAAATATTGTCAATGCTACGTTTCATTGTTGTATATACATTCTTTGTGTTATTTTAATTCTTCATACTAAACCAATAACATACTGTACTTAAGAATGTGATCATTTAAATGAAATTATTTCCACAAAGAAACACCACTCATGTTTTCTTTAGAAAATGTAAAAAAATCTAGTTCGTTTTATTATAAAACCATCTATAGAACCATCTGAGGAGTCACATAGTTTGGCACTTATGTGAGTCTTCACTGTAGTTCCGACTGCTTATTTTATTTAACACAAAATGTGAACTCTCATGATCTATTCTAGTGCTTTGTGTGTTTTTTTTCTATCGATGTCCGCCCCCTTTCTCGCGTCAAACCAATGAACGTTCAGTTTGGAATGACGTTGTTGCCACCGAACCAATCACAGCGCTCAGACACTCTTCCTCGATACATATTCATAGCGCCTCGCGCGCTTTGTGGTCACGTGGAGCATTTCGCGCGAAAAATCAGTCTTCCCGGGAAAAACTAGTCTACAGGCTTGCTGCTGTTCAAAACGGTCGTGAGAAGATGGCGGTGAGTGTATTTCTGTGTAATATGTTTATTTACGGTAAATAGATCTTTTAAACGATTGTTCAAATATGTTTTAAAATATTTGAAGTTTGCAAACCTGTTCGAAATGATGCGTGCTTGTAGGATTGTCTAGTAAAGTTAAAATGTAATGATCTTGATATTACAATAAACTCAATGCAATGTTCACATTTACACATCCGTTGTGATCTCAATTCGATTTCTGTATTATATATTTTTTGTTACAACCGTACCTCTCAAATCATTTCATTGATTAGAAAAAATATATATAAATATGATATAAATGTGTGGTTTTAACTTGACTAAAACTGATGCATGACATATATTCATATAAATATACTTAGAATATTGTCTTGAAGAGTTATGCTGGCCTAAAAAGTTCCCACGTGGGTAAAACTAGTTTCTTTGTTGTGGTTCAGCAGTTGTTACAAGTTATAACTGACTTTTCTGAAATAATGTGATGTAGAGATTCAGTGTGTAACATTGGCAGATTGACAGGTCTGTTTTTCAGATTTAATACTTGGTTTCAGTGTTATTATCTCAGCCTGATCTAGTTACACATGTGCATTTTCTTCATTGACATTTAACATTTCTCCTTAAAGATTTTTGTTTTATATAACACTGACTTTTTTTTTGTTTTGTTCCCAAACAGGATTCATCAGAGTCGTTTCACATGGCCACCAGTCCCAGTCGTGGCTCGCGGCGGGGTGACCTGACCTCCAGCCCCGGCCGAGATCTGCCCCCGTTTGAGGACGAGTCCGAGGGGCTTCTGGGAGACAGTATTCCTGTTGAGGAGGACGGAGACGGAGAGGAGCTGATCGGAGATGGGATGGAGAGGTGAGAGACTGTGCTTCTGATGGTGGGCATGTTTATGATGGCTTGCAGATATTGTAGCTTGCAAAATGTAGGCATGACAATTATAACCGTGCCTAAGACAGTTTTATATCCTGATGTGGTGATATAAAATGTATACTGACCACTTCCTGAATAGATCTTTATATCCTCATTTTGTTCATATGATGCGATTTCAAGTTTTCCTTTCTCTTTGGAGTGTTACAAGCTGATTGTGCATAGTGCTTGTAGGATTGTCTAGTAAAGTTAAAATGTAATGATCTTGATATTACAATAAACTCAATGCAATGTTCACATTTACACATCCGTTGTGATCTCAATTCGATTTCTGTATTATATATTTTTTGTTACAACCGTACCTCTCAAATCATTTCATTGATTAGAAAAAATATATATAAATATGATATAAATGTGTGGTTTTAACTTGACTAAAACTGATGCATGACATATATTCATATAAATATACTTAGAATATTGTCTTGAAGAGTTATGCTGGCCTAAAAAGTTCCCACGTGGGTAAAACTAGTTTCTTTGTTGTGGTTCAACAGTTGTTACAAGTTATAACTGACTTTTCTGAAATAATGTGATGTAGAGATTCAGTGTGTAACACATTGGCAGATTGACAGGTCTGTTTTTCAGATGTAATACTTGGTTTCAGTGTTATTATCTCAGCCTGATCTAGTTACACATGTGCATTTTCTTCATTGACATTTAACATTTCTCCTTAAAGATTTTTGTTTTATATAACACTGACTTTTTTTTTGTTTTGTTCCCAAACAGGATTCATCAGAGTCGTTTCACATGGCCACCAGTCCCAGTCGTGGCTCGCGGCGGGGTGACCTGACCTCCAGCCCCGGCCGAGATCTGCCCCCGTTTGAGGACGAGTCCGAGGGGCTTCTGGGAGACAGTATTCCTGTTGAGGAGGACGGAGACGGAGAGGAGCTGATCGGAGATGGGATGGAGAGGTGAGAGACTGTGCTTCTGATGGTGGGCATGTTTATGATGGCTTGCAGATATTGTAGCTTGCAAAATGTAGGCATGACAATTATAACCGTGCCTAAGACAGTTTTATATCCTGATGTGGTGATATAAAATGTATACTGACCACTTCCTGAATAGATCTTTATATCCTCATTTTGTTCATATGATGCGATTTCAAGTTTTCCTTTCTCTTTGGAGTGTTACAAGCTGATTGTGCATAGATAAGATCCCTGAAGTTGCAAAGACTAAAGTCTCAAAACCAAAGAGATATTCTTTATCAAAGTTAAGACTCTGCCACGCCCCCCTAAAACGGCTCGTTCTAACACGCCCCCACATATCTACATCACTATGTGGAAATATTTGCATAATGCGCCCAAATGTTCACGCAAAGAAAGAAGGCGTGGTTTCAGTAACCGCAGTTAGTGTTGAAGCAGCATGTCAGGGAGACGCTGTGTGTTTCTAATTTTGGGATATTGCATAAAAAAACACACAATTGCATTTCCAAACACAAGGCATCTGAAATTATGATTACATGACAGTGCTTATTATTGCATGTAGCATGTGCACAAGTAGTTTATTATGTAGGGAGCAAGAGCCATTAATGGCTTCCTCAGTTGCAGCAAATTTTATTTTTATTATATTTTATTATTTATACTATTTACTTTGTGCTGGTTTCCAAGGGTATGACAGTTTTGTTCACTTGATTTAATGGGATGAAAACGGTGCTTTAAATGCAAATGATTCATGCAATATTCCAATTTTCCCAAAGTTAACTTTGGGTGAAAACGCAGCTAACAAGCTAACATTTTTACTGCATTTTTGCAGAGACTACCGTGTCATCCCGGAACTGGACCGTTATGAAGCGGAGGGTCTGGATGAGGATGAAGATCTCAGTGAACTTTCTCCCGGCGCTCGGGCGGAAGCTGAAGCGGCCATGAGACGGCGGGACAGAGAACAGGGTCTTGGTATGGGCCGCATCGGACGCGGACTTCTGTACGGTGGGTGTTCTAGTCATCGAAAAATAATTGTACCGCAAGCCACTCAAGGAAAAAGTCATTACATTATAGTTTAAACCTTGTTTGTGATTCTGCGATGGACAGACAGTGAAGACGAGGACGACAAACGGCCCACGAAGAGGCAGCGGGTTCTCGCGGAGAGGGCAGCTGAGGGCGTCGCGATGGATGGCGAGGATGAAGAGATGATCGAAAGCATTGAGAACCTGGAGGACATGAAGGGCCACACGGTCAGGGAGTGGGTTTCAATGGCCGCCCCGCGACTGGAGATCTACCACCGCTTTAAGAACTTCCTGCGCACACACGTGGACGAGCACGGACACAACGTCTACAAAGAGCGCATCAGCGACATGTGCAAAGGTGGGTGGCGGACGGTCGTCTGGGAAAACTGTGTAATATAGTCCAGACGCGGTGATTCGACTTGATATTTTGTGATTTTTACAGAAAATAAGGAGAGTTTACTGGTGAACTATGAAGAGCTTGCATCCAGGGAGCACGTGCTGGCATATTTTCTGCCGGAGGCTCCTGCCGAGATGCTGAAGATTTTTGACGAAGCCGCCAAAGAGGTGGTGCTTGCGATGTACCCCAAATACGACAGAATCGCACATGAAATCCATGTCCGCATCGGCAACCTGCCATTGGTGGAAGAACTTCGATCGCTCCGGTATGAACAATTTCATGTCTTTTTGGTTTTCGTAATACGTTTTAGACACATAATGCACAGCTGTGATCTCTCTTGCGGGTTTTTCAGAAAAATTTATACAAATAAAAAAATTATGTAATAAAAATGTATATATATATATTTTTTTTTTTTTCTCTCTCCAGGCAACTTCACCTGAACCAGTTGATCCGCACCAGCGGTGTGGTGACCAGCTGCACTGGAGTTCTGCCGCAGCTCGGTATGGTGAAATACAACTGTAACAAGTGTAACTTCATCTTGGGACCCTTCTTCCAGTCCCAGAACCAGGAGGTGAAGCCTGGCTCCTGTCCCGAGTGTCAGTCACTCGGTCCGTTTGAGATCAACATGGAGCAGGTGCGTGAGGAAAACATTTCTGTGCGATTTGCAGTTGAGAGTATAATGTATTTGGGAGAATCTTAAAATCTTTAAAGAAAATTGTGGATTTAACAATTTTTTTTATTGATTAAAACAAAACTAAAGACCATTTTTCACCATTTTTGAGAGTTTTATCTATATTTATTTTGTCTGATCCAAACAGAATTTAGCAGTTGGTAATTAATCAACCTTTAATCCTGATTATTCAATAATAAACCAATACATTTCAGAAAAGAAATTGCGTTCTTGCTTTTCTAATTATGTAAGTGTGCTCTTAAGAGCACAGCTTTTGCCATCTCATTTTTGCCATTTGTTGCCATAGCAGCAGGAAGCAGATGTTTCTTTTTTTCTTGTTAACCAAGGTTCTTGCCTTTCACAGACAGTGTACCAGAACTACCAGCGTATCACCATTCAGGAGAGTCCTGGCAAAGTCGCGGCGGGTCGCCTGCCTCGCTCCAAAGACGCCATCCTGCTGGCCGACTTGGTGGACACCTGCAAACCCGGAGACGAGATTGTGAGTCAGCAGACACTGATGAATACAACATTTATCAAAACCCCTTTAATGAACAAGCTTGACCTGCACTGATTTATCCCAACCACTAGAGGCAATGGTTTTGTGGCGTAAGATGAAGCTTTGGATCAAGTTCACTGTTA